CCTAAAAAAACACATTGTCATATTTAAGGTGGGGAATTATGTAGGAATGAGGTGTCTTGTGAAGCATGTGGCCTGTTTCTGTGAGTGTAATGTGTGAGATAGGACTGTTCTTTATTTATTTTAGGCTCATGGAAGAATTTCCACAAAATAAAAGGTGTCAAGTGTGAGTCAACAGCTGGAGATCTGGACAGCAGGCCTGTTGAAAAAATATGGAAGGAGAAAAAGATGCTTCTCTGATGCCCTTTGTGAAGTAGGTTTCTTCCATTCACTGCAGAGAAAAATTGTGTCTACTGTATTGTTTTCCCCCTTTTTAAATAAGAAAATAACTGTCTTCGCAACACATATATGTATATGTACCCTCTTTGACAAGTTTGCCTACCATCAGTGATTCTTAACCATCTTTGCGGTCACAGACCGTTTTGCAAATCAAATTAAATCTAGGGACACTGGGTCCCCCTGGAAAAATAGGGGAAATACCACAGAAAAAGAACAATTTTTGCAAAAACAAATACATTACAGCACTAAAAATGGATTTCTTTTACATGGATTAATTAGTCTGGTAAGAAAGCATTACAACAACAATTTGTAATGACTGTATATTTCCCCTTCTTGTTCTGTGCATTAGGTTCACAATGACTTGTGGTGACTGCTTAAATAAAACAGAAATAAAAATAAATAGATTAGAGACCGCAAAGAGATTCTAGTCTTAACAGGCTTGCTCAAGTCTTGTGAAGTTGGCAGCCATAGCTTCCTTTAATATATTACTTACTTTTAAAACATTAATGCATACATAGCTTAAAATGCACTGTGACAGAAATAATTCTAAGTAATAGGAAGGAAATCAGCCTGTCTGTCTGTTGATCATCTATCTATCTACATTTGCAGGCAGTTTTAATGGAGCTTATAATGTCCTGCCATAGATCTCCTAGCGGTCCATTGGACCCCCAAGTTAAGCACCATATTTTTGGGGTATTTTGATGGACCCTCATGCCAGCACTTAGAAACCACTGCAAGATAAGGAAGTAGTTCTCTTTTCCTCCTGAGTGATTTTAGATAGTGGAAGTGGCAATCTCCAAAAGTAACTTTTCTGGGACCATTTATATTGAAACCTGTGAAAGTCAGATAGTTCTTCCTAGTGGTAGTTGGACAGGGAGACCGCTTTTAACAACGAAAGTCAAATTATGAAAGCCAAATTCAGTCGTTTTTAGTAGGGTCAGTTGAGCTGACTCTCAGTTCTGAATGCTAATGCAAGGGTTTGTTCAAGGAAGGAATGCAGGAAAGAGAAATTTGCTACTTCTTTTTAAACATTATCCTGTGAGGTCATCACACCCTCTTTTCACTTAAGTCCCACTTGCAACATTATAAAGTACTGATTGTTTGTTGTTGATTTTCTTTTTACAGCTGCTGTTGCTTTTTTTAAAAAACATGTTAACTGGGAACAGAGGTGATAAAACAGCAATTTTCAAAGTATAAAACGTACCAGTGTGTTGTAGTGATCTGAGCGTTGGACCAGGACTCCAGAAGTTAAGGCTTGAATCTTCACTTGGCCATGGAGACCCACTGGGTCACCTTGGTCAGGTTACACTCTCTCAGCCTCAGAGGACAGCAAAGGCAAACGCCCTCTGAAGAAACCTTGCCAAGGAAATCCTGTGATAGATTCACCTTAGGGTTGTCATAAGTCAGAAGCGACTTGAAGGCACACAACAACGACAACCATGTGATAACTATAGGCAAAAGTTATCAGGAGGTGGAGGAGATAAACTGAACTGAAAGATGTGCAAAGTAATAGCTCATAGAATCCTAGAGTTGGAAGAGGTGCCAAAGGTCATCCGGTCCAACCCCATTCTGTCATGCTGCAATACATAGAATCCTAGAGTTGGAAGGGACCCCCAAGGGCCATCTAGTCCAACCCCATTCTGCCATGCAGGAACTCACCATCAAGGCACCCCTGACAAATGGCCATGCAGCCTCTGTTTAATAACCGCCAAAGGAGGAGACTCCACCAATCTCCCAGGGAACATCTTACATTGTTGAACAGTTTACTGTCAGGAAGTTCCTCCTAATGTTGAGGTAGAATCTCCTTCCTGTATTTTGAATCCATTGTGTGTAGCCAAGCGACATCAGAGTGTGGTCTAGATGGCAAAAGTTTTTAACAAGGAAGAGCAGATAAGCTAGGAGAGGCTGCCGCAGTGTGCTTTACCTGAGCCTTTTGGGAAGGGCAAGATGTGGCCCCCTCCTCTCCTCTTCCCTCTGTTGCCTTAATGGAGGGCAAACTACTCCTACTTTTGGACTTTATATTCAGTCTTCAGCAACTGCAGTAAACTGAGGACAGAGAGAAAGTGGGAGGGAAAGAGAGAAAGTGGGACATTTTAAAAGCAGCTGGGAAAGTGGGACAGCAGAGGAATAACTGGCAAATTAGGACAGTTGGAGGGTATGGTAGCTAAATTCCTTAACAGCCCCATTTTTCTCCCATGGAGGCTAGGAATAACTTTAAAAACAAATAAGATGTTTTTTCTATTTTTAAACTGTTCCTGATAAACCTGTGAAAGTCTAACTGCTGCATTGTGGTGGTTCTTCGTAGAGATGTTTTCTCCAGGTCTTGCATTAAATCTGAGCAACACAATGTCCAACTACACGGACGTTTAGAGGACTTTGGCCACCGCAGAAAAATAGAGAGCGAGAGAAAGCTAAAAAAATGACTAGGGTTCCAAAAACATTGCAGAAATAATCCAGTGTGAGACCACTTTAACTGCTCTGGCTCAGTGCTAGGGAATTCTGGGAACTGTAGTTCTGTGAGACATTTAACCTCTGTCAGAGGGCTCTGGTGCTACAGTAAACTACAATTCCCAGGATTCCCTAGCACTGGCCAGGGCAGTTAAAGCGGTCTCAAACTGGATTACTCTGCAGTGTGTTTTGGACCTAGAACAGCTTAGGAATTTTCCAGGTGGGAGTACAAACACATTGTAAACAAGGAAACAAACACACAGGTCAAAATGGCTACGACACAAGAAGAAAAATAATCCAGTGTTCTGGATTTTGAGAGAAGCACTTTGTGTGAAATCAGTCTGAGATGAGAGCCAAGCTGCTTCTAGGAAACTTGGGAATCCAATGTTCACAGAGAGAATATTTGTTTGTGGTGTATTTCTTCTTCAGGAGATATCAAATAGAGTTTTATTGACACAATTCTCTAGGTTTTTCTCCTCTTTAGTAGTAGAGGTTCATCTCTATAACCCTGAAACAATTAATTCAAAACTAGTTTTCAAGGTCATGTTCGTTTTCTTCAATTAATTTCTTGCGCTGGGGAGAGGGAGGGTAACACATACGCTAAAAAAAACAATACCATCTTTATAAACCACAAAGATTAACTATTAATTTGTTAACTTCAAAGAACACTGGGAGTAGGCAAGAAACTGGCACAGGGAGAAGAAATGGCAGTCCAAAACTCATCCTCCGAGCAATACATTAATTTCAAAGTCTTTCCTCTAGATTTTTCTAACATCTGCTAGAGTACTGTTTGCATTTACTTACTTGGGGTTATTAAATTTTATAACCCGTTACTAAATACAAGGCCTGGGAGGATACTTGGAGAGCAAATAATTACAAATATATATGAGCCTGGGTAAAATTGCTTATCAGCCTCTAATGCAGGGGTAGGCAACCTAAGGCCCGGGGTCCGGATGTGCCCCCCCCCGAGGCCTTTGGACCAGCCCCAGGCCAGTCCTTCCATCGCCGCTGCCCCCCGCCATGATGATATTGATTATTGTTGTTATTACTTGTTCTTGGGGTTTTCTTGGCAAAATCTCCACAGGGGTTTTGCCATCATGGCTTTTCTGGGGCTGAGAGAGTGTGCATGCATATTTTTTAAATTTTTTAAATTTATTTATTTTTGGTGCTTCAGCCCCCCCAATTGTCTGAGGGACAGCAACCTGCCCCCTGGCTAAAAAAGGTTGCCTACCCCTGCTCTAATGGCTATACCAGAAATGTGGTCTGATCATATTAGGCAAATCTGTTTTCTAGGGTGACGTTGGCATTCTCTGTGTAAGCGACTCTCTTCCTAGAAGTCGAAATGACTAAACTGAGGGCCTTTGCAGACTGCTAGAAATAGTGCAATTTGAGTCCACT